AATAACTATTTGTAATAACTGTTATTGTAAATTGTACTCTTGTGTGTATATTAAAACGTATTTGGGTTAAAAAATGAAAACTGTGTGTATCAATCTTGTTGGCAAACATCATAAACTGATTATATATCGGCATTTACTTAACTAATAAATCCAAAGTACAATTATAACTCAATTACAGACCATTTGAAATTCTAATACGTAACAACCTGTTTGATGTTGAACAATTATATGATATTAAAGTCAACAATTATAATATTAAGAATGTAATAAAGGAATTAAATATTGTTAACTTCCTCCCAGAAAGGTTAATGAATGATCTGTAATTAAACACAAAGCTACACAATGAGCTATCTGTGCTCCGCTCACCACGGGTATCGAAACCCGAATTTACACCGCTGTGCCACTGGGGGGTGGAGCTTAGTGAATAGAAACTTGTGTTGTAGTTTGATGGTTTCATTTTTACCCATTCCTTAATTGTTATAAAACAGTGACTTTTTTCTTTGTTACCTCAAAATGGCACATTTTAGAGCACGAAAGGGGTTTATATAATGACATATTTGATTATATCAAAATGATGTTTTGTTATAATGCAATAAAATATTGGACATTATTTCTTACGACCTTAATGTAAAAAGCTCAATTCTAAGAAGTAAACGGTTGGAACTACTCTGCAAGAGAAGTGTATTTACAAAGTATTCGGTAGCCATTCAAAATGGGTGTCCAGATGTGGTTTTATCATATAATCAGTACTAACGCTTATGTTTTGTGAACTATGATTTTGTGTTTGCATCCTAAGTGTTTAGAATTCGTAAACATAAGAATTACAACTCAAATAAATTTTATATCTTAGCAAATAAGTACTTTTGAGGGATACAAGAGTTTAAAAGAAACAGACAACAACGTTAGCCTTCCCCAAGGTGTGAATAAACAGTCTGGTTGAGCAGACATTGTTCGTAACACAATTAAGAAATCACTCAGATTACTGGTTATACCAATATTATTGGGATATATTATATTCCACAACATATCGAGACACAATGATGGCAGCCTCGTAGAAATTACCATTACCTTATTGATGAAATACGTCGGTCTAATATTCAACATGCAGAATAATGATGAATGAGAAGAGTATATTTCTTCTTTTTCTGACATCCATGTTTGTTCCAAACGATATTAATCTCTAATCCTATCCACTAGTTCCACACTGTAAATATTAGATTTTCCATCACCAAAGTATTCTTTTGTTGTCTGTATCTATTCCCCCTTGCTGCTATCTTCTCCCTTTCGTTAGGACTGCCGTGTGCTAAATCTATATTCATGCGAGTATTATGAGCAGAGAAATCCTATTATACAAACTATATTAATATGTTCTTGGACAAAAAGAACAAAATATAAAAATAGTGCGAAACCTGTTCGTGCGCTATACACTACAGAACAGAATTTTGATGAGACAACCAACGTCCATTAGTATCGGTCGAAATTCTTTCAACGAAATATAAAAAAAAAAACGTGTAAGGTTATGGACATGCATGATCTGATATCTCTACAGTAAGGGAACTTGAGGAAGATTTAGTATTATTCATCACGCCTTACATACATTATTTTTTTTTTTTACAGGAAAAAGAAGGCGTACGTTATTCACTAACACTAAAGGTGCAATCTTCGGCAGTCGACTCCAAAGAATGTCAGAAGAAAACCTCAAGTTTTGTACTGCAAGTAAGTAACGTCTATGGTATTTTAATATTTCCACATCTGCTCGCTGGTCGATATATTATTTTTATTTTTGTCTAGCTAGTTGTTTACACATCTGCCCAGTTATCGGCATACCCGTTTTAGTTTTCTCGCTTCTCTATCATTTAATTTTCCCCGTGTTTCCTTGTCTGTTTAGAATACTTTTACATAGGTTCTCCATTTGCTTAACTTGCCATTAACTCTTTCGTTACACTAGTTTATATGAATCGTAGAAGTAACATTTAAAATGTAAATTCGCACATTAATGTATACAATAGAACTGTCATAGTTAGGACAGCAACTAAAAGGAAATAAAATTTTACTGTAATGGATTATAACAAAGTGTTTAAAGTAATATGCCTATGTTGCCAGGTTTTCACGTCGACATCTTTTAAATGTTGTTAGTTTCATATTTTATTGACGTTATATACATCTCTTGAAAGGTTTTTTTTCTCTCTACGGTTTGTTCTACAAAGCCCTTTATTTAACATTTAATCCCTAGTGAATTTAATATCCATAACGATCACCAGTTGTACTTTGAAATTACGGCTTTCGCTTAGCGACATAAATGTATGCATTGCTGATAGAAAAGAAAAGGAGAAAAAAAAATTATTCAGACACGCTAAGCTAAACTGCCTACCATATCGCAAATCTGTTAAACACGTTTGAATTGTGTGTATATCCACGTACACAGAGACTATTTGTAGGAAGGAAATAAGATGATATCTCATAACCAAATCAACGTAAGGTATACTTTCGTAATTGTTAAATCTTGTTTCATAAGATTATTGATATCAACTTGACAACAGTGATCGATGAACATTCAAGCCTAAAAGACGACACACAATGAAATACTGAAGTGAATAGTTTTACACTATAAATAATTCATATGACGCATATGTATACCTTTGCATGTTCAATAAATAAAGAAGTCGAACTACTCTTTGTAATCGTGTGATATAAACTGTAGAAGAATGAAATACAATCAAGATCTACCTTAAGGAACAAGTTCTGTGCATATCGGATGAAGGACCTATTTAATATTGCAGTTTACAAAAGAATAGCCCCCCAGTGGTACAGCGATATGTCTGCGAACTTACAATGCTAGAATCCGGGTTTCGATACCCGTGGTGGGCAGAGCACAGATAGCCCATTGTGTAGCTTTGTGCTTAATTACAAAACAAACAAACAAATACGAAATAATAATAGAAAATTTTGTTTTGAATTTTGCGCAAAGCTACACGAAGGCTATCTGCTCTAGCCGTCCCTAATTTAACAGTGAAAGATCCACCGCCAACTCTTGGACTATTCTTTTACCAACGAATAGTGGGATTGATCGTCACATTATAACGCCCCCACGGCTGAA